CGGTGGCCGCCGGGGAGCGGGGGCAGCAAGTTGGGATGCGCGCTACTTAAGGTCCAGCTGCGTGAGCTATTGACGTGTTTGGAGCTGGAGACTGTCGGGTCCCGGGCGGAGCTGCGCCGCGAGGTGAGTGGTCCCGCGACCCTCCTTCCGTGGCGGCTGCAGGGAAGGGGAAATAGGGGGCTGCAGCTGAGCCGTCAAGGGGCCCAAACACAGTTCCGCGCGTAGCCGCTCCCACCAGGCCTCGCCGTAGCGCGGGCCCCTTCCCCTCGCTTCTCCCGGTGGTACGGGTCTGCTCGGGCTGGGGGCTAGGAAGGTGACCCGTGCCCCGGCAACCCCAGCCGTTTCTTCAGCCTCCTTCCCAGCCTTGGAAGCGTAATTGCCTGCACCTACACCCAGTTTCCTGCGCCTTCCTCGCACTCTGCCCCCTCGGCGCCGTCGAAGGTTGAAGCAAGGTGTGTTCACCTGTGCCTGCCGTCCACGGGTGGACGGACAGGCGGCCCCGCCGAAGGCAGCGAGCTCTCGGACTTGCATCTCTCCGGCTTCAACATTCGATTTCCCCGCCTCCCTCCGGTATGCCACCTTGACTTCCTGACCCCGTCTCTCTGCACCCAGCAGTGGGTGAAGGGCTTTAGGTTCTCACATTTTCCAGCTTCCCGGTAGTTGCATCTGCGCTTTGTCAGAGCCTCAGAGCCTGCCTGGGCTCTGACCACCCTGTGCACATGGACGTAAGGTCCCTTCCCCCTTCCCTTGCAAAGCTACTTGGACAGTGGGGATGTGATGGGAAATCAAATACTTTTTAAAGCAGTTTGCCCCTTAGGGAAGATTTTACAGTTGTTTCTCAAATGTGCTTGTGGGGCCCCTCCTTCATCTTCAAGCAGAGCTTTGTAACTTGTTTAGTACCTGCAGGAAGTAAGGAGATGAGACCTCTCTAGTGGAACACTATCTTGCCCTTCAGCCCTGCCTCTCACTGTAAATTGACATTTCCAGTTTACCCATGAGGAATGTATGCAGAGAAGGTGATATCCAAACTTAGATTGACATGTATTTAGAATTTGGAGGGGAAAGGAAATGAAATGTGCATAAACTCATGCTGCAAACCTAATTCGGGTATATATATATATATGATGTTACCTGGGTGTTTTTAAAGAACTTCTGATCATAAAAATTCAGAATAGGACACTTTCACGTAAGGCACGCAACCTGAGTTTTGTCTGCATCTGATCGTTCAGATTATATCCGAGGAATATGAACAGCTAAGCAGAGTTGTGTGTTCACACATCATAGACTAGATGTAAAAAGCAAGGCTGTGCGTTTACTTAGTACCATCATCTCTCTAGGAAGTCGAGCCTGGAAAAGAATTGTGTTCAGCAGCGGGAAAACGCTTCTAGATATATTTGAATAACATCTTGAGTATCCATTTTGCCAAGATGTTTTTGTTAGCTAGGTGTATTCATATATTGTTCAGTGAAAATCATAAAAATAACAGGATTACGTAGTGGGCATGAAAAGTTAAAGGACCCAGAATGACTAAACTTTTTTCCATCCTTCTTTGCAAAGGTTAGTCACTTTTAGCCTGGACAACCTGATCATTTCCATAGTAGAAGAAACCAAACTATGTGACTTTTGGTCGAGAATACCTCCACTTTTCAGGAACTTGTGGGTTTGATTATTTCTCCTGAATGTACTTTATTTTTTTTTTAACATGACACATTTTTTGATGGTCCCATCTTAGGCAAGGAAAGTAGAAACCGTTTCATAAGAAAATTCTGACCTCTGTCTGGTTATGCTGACTTAGTTCTTCAGTTTTTTATTCTTTGGCGTTTTGTGGGTCATACTACATTATATGCTGCTTCTCCTTCAATCTTTAAGTGGAAGATGATTAAGCTAGAACAGGTTTTGGGAATATACATTAAATCAGCTCTTCAAACAGTGCAGAGCATTTAAAAATATTTGTGGATGGCTCATCCATTGTATACAATATATTGAAACAAAAAATAACTGAAATATTTGTGAACTATTGTTTTTTAAATTTTTTCTTTTAATTCCTATGACATGTCTGAAGATAATAGTCATACCGATTTCTGTTGAACTCCATTATAGAAAGCAATTATCCTGGGATATAGTTCACATACCTATTATATGAGTATATGAGTTGTCTTGGAATAACTGATCAGCTCTTAGGGAACTGTTATACCTTCAATCAATAAAAACTTCTGTAGGCTGTATCTGTAAGGCATGAGTTAAAAGATTAAAGAATGACAGTAGCATTCCCTGATTCCTTCAACACAGAGTATCAATTAAATAGAAGATGGGGGCTGAAAGTAAAGTTCCAACTTTTTAAAAAACTTTTTGAAATGTCAGCTAAGCAGTAGCTTTGTTTTTTGGTATATTGGCCATCCCAGTGCTGGCCACAGAGTAGGCATTCATGTTCTTTAGTTAACAAATGTTTTTGCTAAAGTTGGGTTGTACTAAATTATTCCACACTTATTTTGTATGCTAATCAATGTATAATAAGGAAGTAACTGTTAGAGTGCATGCAGTATTCTTAGGTTTTGTTAATATAATTAATTGCTTAATCTTTAGAAATAATAATAAACTAAACTTGAATTATAGCTGAACTATCTTTCTTTTTGGACATTATAATAAAATTTCAGCATTTAAATAATGGCCTTTGTGCTGAGGCACCATGGCAATGCAAAGGAAAAAACCAAGTCTTTATTTTCAAAATACAGAGGCTGCAGGAAATTCCTCACTAGATAATCATTATGCCATAATTAATTTTCAAGTATTTATGGGGCTAATGAGATTTATTGATTTATTTTATGTCATCTACTGTGTAACTCTTTTCCCCAACATCTACTACCTGCAGTAAGAAGACTGTTAGGATGCCAATGGTAGCACGGAGACTGAGAGATCCTGACATAAATCCTTGCTTGTCGGTAAGGTGGTTTTCTTTTAATTTTCTTGAGTGTTAAGTTGGGAAAACGGGCTGCTTCTGATTTTGTGGGCATCTGTTTTCTGCAGTTCTTTTTTTAAAAATGTTTTTCTCAGTTTATTTGCTTTTTAATTTTAATGGGATTTTTAAAAATATAGAAGTTTTATATTTCCTACCCAGAAATCCAGTAAATATTCACTTAGATCTTTTTTTTACTATGTTCATTTATCATTATTTTAATTCACTTAGTTATTTTTTATTAAAGTATAATTGACATATATTAATTTCAGGTGTACAACATAGGGACTCTACATTTATATACCTTATGATGTGATCACCAAAATAAGTCTAATATAACCATCTGTCACCGTAAGATATTATTGACTGTGTTCCCTGCGCTGTACATTACATCCCTGTCACTTATATTATAACCAGAAGTTTGTACCTTCACTTTTTCACCCATCCCCTGAAGCCCCCTTCCTTCTGGCAACCAACAGTTTGTTCTCTTTATCAATCTGTTTCTGTTTTCTGCCATTCTTTTTAAAGTTATTTCTGTACAAAAAATATTCCTAACTAGAGTATCCTTATTTTACTAGAGCATAACTAAGATTTATCTCTTTTAAGTTTTCCTTATTTATATAATATGCAAGCATTTAGTTGTCACTATAATGTTAAACAGGCATATGTAACACTGAGGAACATTTTTAGTCCAAACATGGCAAGTTGGAAAGTATGATATTTTTAAATTGTCACTAAAATTTATGTTTTAATAGCAATAATTTCATCATGTCCTTGAGACTACCTGGTTGAGAGTAAGGGGCAGATATGAAATTAGCCTATTTAAAGTCTAAAGGTTTTCACAAAGATATATAAACAAAATGTTTTGTTGAATAGTAAGCTTTATTGGCATTTATTATGACTAGCAATACTTACTTCTGCCTTTGTCACCCTTGAATTATGTAATCATCAGACTGGTGCTGTGAAAATGATATTCCCTAATCCTATATAGATTTTCCAAATATACACATTCATTATTTGGCATAGAAATTTAGATTTGACTGTATATTATATGTTTTAGACTGCCGTATTAAGTCTTTAGACAGAAATTGTTTCTAAGATCTATGAAGCAAATTACTTTCCCATTTAGTTAAAGCTTTCCTTTAGGTGGTAACCTCTCAGAATCATACCTTTTACTTTGAAGTTTGTTATCTTATCTACTTCTAGTTCAGCCAGCTTAAATTTCATTCCCAAATGGCAGGTACCCTCCTTTGAACTCATAGCCCTGTGTTTCTCACTTTAGTTTTGAAGTAATCTTAATGATATCTGTTAAAATTGCTTACACAATAGTGTATATACTTGAGTAATTAAGTGAATGATAGCAAAAATACAGAGATGAATGGTGTTAATTTAAGTTGCCTTGATGTAGACTAGTTATTAGCAATTTACTTAGGATCTCAAAATTAGCCTTAGCATCAAACATTCAAGTCAAAGTCAGAACTTGGAAAAGCGAGAGAGCTACACTCTGAGTTGGGAAATGATTTTGATTCTAGCTCTGCAACAGTGATTTTCTGCACATTGCACCTTCCCATAGCTTCTTTGTTAAATGGTTATGGGTTAAATGATCTCAGTCAGTGCTTTGGCTCAAATCCCTGTGATTAGGTATTCAAAAAACTGACCCAGACTATGAAAAGGAAGATGTCTGCCCTGAGCAGAATGAATGCTTGGGACAGTTGCTTTGTGGGGAAACATCTTCAGCAGTTTTTTGGTTTGTTTGGTTTTTTTTTAGATCCCATCCCACCTCTTACATGATGCCTATCTTACATATTTAAGGAATCTGATGCTTCTACCAGATGTATGGATGAAAATAACTATGACAGGGAAAGGTGTTCCAATTACTTCTTGAAGTACAAGAACTGCCGGAAATTCTGGGTAAGTCTAGCTTGGTGAGATGAGATAGTATTAACTCATCTCTTAGGCTTGAAACTGAAGCCCGAAATTAATCAGTACCCACAGTCCTTCCTTTGGGATGGCTGCAGGGAAACTTAATTTTCAACTTGATTGCTCAGTGTGTTAGTTTAGCCCTAAACAATCCTTGAGAGCTCTTCTTAGTTGCCTCATCCTACTCTAAGGTGTAAAGATTCAGTTCTAATAGAGGGGGGTCTTCCTAGGTGTATAAGTATCTGCAGCCCTAAAACAATAACCTTGTTATAATTTTATTTCTCTTGGAGATGAACAAAATGGATAGCTTGTCCTGTCATTACACATATTAGGCTTCCACTTCTGCCTCCTCTCCCACCGCACCTAGAATAGTTTAAATGGTCCCGTTTTTCTTAAGACATTGGTATGTAATTTCTGTTTCTCTGAGCACTGGATCCAGCTGCTTCATTTCTCTCTGTTAAATTAGCCAATTGTTTCACTGATGGACTGTGCTCAATTGTTTTTTTCATCGTTTTTTAAAACTTGGTTTTTAGAATTTCATTTTTGAGGAAGCAATATCAAATTACTGAAAAATGATTAGCATTTAATACATGACTGGTTTGGTTTCTTCTCTTTTTTTTATACCTACATGCAGAATTCTATCATGATGCAGAGAAGACAGAATGGAGTGAAGCCACCTATGCCAACAGCAGCAGAAAGAGATGAAATCTTGGGAGCAATGGGAAAGATGCCCTATTGAATGTTTGCATTAAAATTGATTATTTAACATAAAAGAAGATAAATATTTTTAATAAATGATTACTGTAGTCTTTTAAGACCATTTAAGCCTTACCTGGACATATCTTATATTCTACAAGGGGAGACAAAATTAAATGGACACTGTGTCTTTTGTGTTTGCTCTAAGTGCCACTGCTGACCGTGCGTGTCAGAGCTCACAATACTGCCTGGAGTGTTACTGAGGGAAGTGTTAGAGAAGGCTACGTGAGGAGCTGGGCTTTTCCTCTGGGCCTCACAAGAAAAGGAAAGTATGAAGAAGTGGACTTAATGGAGGTGAAAGGAAGGATTTCATGGGAGCAACAACATGATGGAAGGAAAGCTTGAGACAGATTCAGAGAGCTGTCTGTCTGACTGTTCCACCTCGAGTTTAAAGTGGGTGGAGAAGTAATGGCAGAGAAGACTGAAGTTGAAGGCAGATGTGTGATGGGCCTCAAATCTGAGGCTCATTACTAAGATCCCTGCCTTTACTTCACTCAGTTATCTTGTTTAATTAGGTTAATACATTCACTAGGCAGGAAGCAGGGCTGTGGGAAGGTTGCCTTAGGTAAATGGCATGCAAAATAACTGGTTTTCTTTCTTTAAGGAAAGGCATGGTTAAAGGACTCTATGACTAAAATCCATAAATATTGGATAACCTTCTGAAGGCAAAGTATTCTTGAACTATGGTAATGGGGGAAAACGTGATTCTCTTAGAATTAGGATTTTTATTTTGAGGATGAGACGGGCAGGGAAGGGTATGGAGTTCATCAGGTGAATGCAACACAGGGATGAAGCTAGAGCTCAACTTCACTTTATGATATAAAAACATAAACCAGAGAAAGACAAGTATCACATAATCCCTCTGATATGTGGAATCTAATGAACAAAATAAACTAATGAACAAAATAGATCCAGAGACATGGAAACATGGAACAGACAGGAATCTCAGAGGGAAGAGAGGGTAAGGGGATAGTAACCAAAGAATTTACATGCACATATGCATAACCCATGGACACGAACAATTGTGCAGTGAAAGTGGGGGCAGGGGAGGGTGTTAATGGGGGAAAAAGGGGGACATCTGTAATACCTTCAACAATAAAGATAAAACAACAAAGCAATATTCAGTATGGTGACTGGGGTGGATTATATAGCTGCTCTCATACCCACCACCTTTTAAAATCCAGTTAGTTTCATTGAAAGAATAGTTTTATAAAAGACAATCATAGAAAATCAACAACAAATAGTTTGTGTCCCTGAGTCCCTGTTCTTCAGGTGGCCCATGATCATCAAGAGCATAATTTTAATGCCTGCTGACGACAAACTAGCCATCTCATTGGTCTTAGTCCAAAACTTAGCTCAGATGTTTTTAAGCCACAGGACCTTGATTGGTAAATGTGATTCTATCTGAATAAAATGTGGTGTCATTTTGCGTAAAATTCTATTTGAATTTCTGGGTTGTTTCAGAAATTCTTTGATTTGAATTAATTGCCCTAAAAATGGATTACCTGACAAGAAATTAATACATACTTGTGTGAGAAGCATTTCAGTACTTTTTTTTTTTTAATCCTCACCTGAGGATGTTTTTTCCATTGCCTTTTCAGAGAGTGGAAGGGGAAGGGGGGGAGAGAGAAACATCGATGTGAGAGACACAGTGATTGGTTGCCTCCCGCTTGAGCACCAGCTGGGCTGGGGCCTGCAACAGAGGTATGTGCCCTTGGCTGGAATCAGACCTGGGGCCCTTCAGTGCACAGGCCGACGCTCTAACCACTTAGCAACTGGCTAGGGCGCATTTCAGTACTTTTAAGCATGCTTGTTTAAGGGTTTGGAATTTTAATGTCATCTCTTTAAATATGCACACCAACATCAACATTCATCTTGTAGCTATTTATCCTGGCATAACTCTTTTTAAAAATAGCAACTGCACTGAGATACAATTCACATATAAATCACCTAAAGTGTACAATACAGTGGTTTGTAATACATTGGCAATGTGCAGCCTTCATCGCAATGGTTTTAGAATATTTATCATCGCAGAAGGAAACCGTATACTCATTAGCATACATTCTTCATTTCCTCCTAAGACCACCTTTCCTCCCCACCTCCCTAAAACTAAGGCAACTGCTTACCTGCTTGCTTTCTCTAGAATTGCCTGTACTGGACACTTACATAAATGGGATCATACAACATGTGGTCTTTTGTGACTGGCCTCTTTCAGGTAGCCTCTTTTCCAGGCTCATTCACGTTGCATGCATCGGTACCTTATTATTACTTAGTAACATGTCATTGCATGGATATACCACATTTTATTTACTGATTCGTCCGTTGGTGGTTACTTGAATAGCTTCCACTGTTTGGCTCAATGTGGGCCATGCTGTTTCTTGAACATTTGTGTACAAGTTTTTGTGTGGGCATTCATTTCTTTTTGTGTATGTGCCTGGGAGTTGAATTGCTGGATCATATGGTAACTATATTTAACCTTTTGAAGAACTAGCGAAGTATTTCTCAAAGTGGCAGCACCATTTTACAGTTTACGAGAGTTCCAATTTCTCCACATCCTCATTAACACTTATTATCTGTCTTTAATTGGGTGTGAACTGGTATCTATCTCACTGTGGTTTTGATTTGCATTTCCCTCATGGCTAACAATGTTGAACATCTTTTCATGTGCATATTGGCCACTTGTACATATTCTTTGGAGAAATGTTCATTCAGATCCTTTGCCCATTTTTAAATTGGGTTATGTATCTTCATTATTGAGTTGAAGGAGTTCCTTATGTATTTTAGATAAAAGTCTCTTATCAGATACATGATTTGCAGGGTTTTTCCCCTCCCATTCTGTGAGTTTGAAACACAAAGGCTTTTAATTCTGATGAAGTCCCATTTTTTCCTTTTGTTGCTTTTGGTGTCACATCTAAGAAAGCATTGTCTAGTTCAAGGTTACAAAGATTTACACATATGTTTTCTTCTAAGAGGTTTGTGGGTTTTGGCTCTTATGTTTAGGTCTGATCCATTTTGAATTAATTTTTGTATATGGTATGAAGTAGAAGTTCAATTTCATTCTTTTGTATGTGGCTATCCAGTTGTCCCAGCACCTTTTGTTGAGAAGACTGCTTTTCCCCTATTGAATTGTCTTGGCACTCCTGTTGGAAATCAATTGATTGTGAGAGTTTATTTCTGGACTTTCAGTTCTATTCCATTGATAGATATGTCTATCCTTATTCCAACACCACACTGTCTTGAATACTGTAGCTTTGTAGTGATGCAAAGCTCTTTGATGATTGTTTTCTATAAATGTGTTTTCTATAAAGTGCTTTTAATGACAAACTGTTTGGGTATTTTTGATCAGCAAACCCTTACCGTATAATCATAATAAGGCTCCACCCAGGCAAAGCTGTTAAATTTTAATTAGTCTACAGTAATTCCCTAATTCCTTGTTTGCATCTTCACACATACCCTGATAATTTCAGTATACCCTTCTTGTAACCAGGTTGTTCAAGATCTTGTTTAATCTCTGTGGAGGGGCAGAGTCCCAGGGGTTTGCCTTGTTAACAATGTTAAATTGGCCACTATTGTATTTCTCGATTCAAGATTCTACTTTGGGAGAGGTGAAGCTAATTAACCTGATAAATTAATTGTGTCAGGATGTTAGTGAGTGCTGAGAAAAATTTTGGAGTTAGGCAAGCCTTTGATTTTAACTGTCAACTAACAAAATAGGTAAAGACATTTTACCGTGCTCATGTGCATCTCACTGCTGTAGAAAGCATCTCGCAGATTCTCCACATGCTGGGGGAGTGTGCACACTGTGAGAATCACTGTATCCTTTGAAAGCTGGAGGAAATAGACAATGTGTTCGCGGTTATATCCATAATCTCTGGTGTGCTTTTACTGTGAAATAAATGTTCAACAAGTGTGTATGTGTTTGGGGAGGGATGGCTTTTAAAATTGGACACACAGAGAACATGCAGGTTCGAACAATGCAAAAGGGTACACAATGTAAGTAAATCTGCCCAGAAGCAGCCAATGTTGAGTTTTCAAGGTTTTCCATGCATATACAGACATGTCTGTATGCATATTTGCTGGTTTTGCACAAAAGGACCATCATAGTGCATGAGCAGGAGGTATCTTGCTTTTTTCACTTAGTGGTATAGTTTGGAATAATTCTCCATCGTTGATTATAGATTGATTGTGTTCTTTCAATGGCTACAGTTCTCCATTGCTTAGATATGCTATCATTGAGCACAGTCTTCCCGTGATGGGTTTGCTATTAGAAACAAAACTGCCACAAGCATCTTTGTGTATGGCTCTTTGCTCCTGTTTTTATCTATATGATAAATTTCTAAGAGTACAGTTTTTAGGTTCAAGGTTTCTGCCTATGAAATTTTGCAGATACTGAAAAAGCACCCCCACCCCCTCATTTGGAGCACACAATTTTTAATCCCATCAGCAAAGCCTGTGTGTCTTTTCACACCCTCAGTCCCACTGAGGTACTTCAAAACTCTTTCATCCCTACAATTGATGTGTGTGAAAAGGAATGAGTGTTTTATTCCCTTTGCTCATTTTTTTGATAAGACGGTTGGTGTGAATAATTTGAGGGACTCTTGGTATATTAAGAAAATTACCTCTTTGTTAGATGTATTCTTTATATATTTTTGGTTTGTCTTTTAACTTTTATTTCTATACAGTGTTTTACATTTTACTGTAATTAAATGGATCAGTCTTTTTGTTTATGATTTCTGGTGCTTAATAAATGTTAAATGAATCCAAGTACTGCAATTAAAGTTCAGTTCTGCTTAACAAATATTTGCAAGGTGCTAGGCTAACTGGCGTGGAGGAGCATGAATGAATAAGTCACCTGGCTCTTAAAGAACTTCCCTGGGCTGCATGGGAGAATGAAGTAAGCACCACAGTGAGACCAAGAGCAAACTGCCAATCGGATGAGTAGCCTTAATTAACACCAAGGGACACGTACACAGGTGTATTCCTGTGTACAGTTGTACTGACTGCAACCAGAGTATATGAAGGGAGGTCTCGAGAAAGAAAATCTAGACAGGTAGAATAGGTTCACATGATGAAGT